TAAAATGTGTAGGTAGAATCTTCTGAGTCATATGCCCCCCTACCACACTTTCAAGACTCAACAGTTCAGCCCTAGGTGGGCCAAAGCCCCAGTTTGTGCCTGTGTCAGACTGGCTGCTGGTAGACTCCCCTCATTGGCTATACTTCATTGGGTTGGACTCTGGCTTTTGCAAAGACTGCTGCAGCAACAGCCCCCCACCCCAGGAATCCACACACTGATGAAAGTGGGGCCCATCATGTCACTCACTATGTACCATGGTTTCAGAGAAAAATTCCCTCTGGGGCCCAGTCCCAGTCCCAGGCTCTTCTTTCCCTGAGCCTCCTCTTTTCTAATTATGAGAATCACATAATAAGATAACATTTCCCTTTTTCCTTTAGCTGCCAGGAATCTCAGAGCCAACTTTGAAGTTCAGCCATGGTAATTACATGGCCCCTTGTGATCTGAAATATTTATTTTTTTTTCTTTCTGTGGTCTTATTTTCTCGGTCTGTTTATATTTCTCTGATGCTGAGTCTCTATCTCTTTTATTGGTATTTTTATTATGTACCTTCTGTTATAAGCTGTCTTAGACGCTGTTGAGAACAAAGAGAACTTTAAATTAGGAAATAAATGCACCTTGTTTCCTTTGTGAACTTCATGTGTGTTGCAAACATGATTGCTTTGGTGTCGTAAATAAATTCCCCTTCTGTACCATCTTCAAATTTAGGAATTTATCTGGGAGGTTCTCTTTCTTCTATTTGAGCTCCTTGAGTATAAAACCTGCTGCAGAGAAGCCTTTATCAGTCTTGACCAGGTACATGACCAGATGACCACCACAGACATAAACATCAAGAACGTTGCATGGCTGGGGCATAGCTCAGTGTGTCAGCATGTACTTAGCATGAGCAAGGCCCTGGGTTCTATTTCCTGCCCATACATGTGCATATGTGTATGCATGTATACACACACACACACACACACACATACACACACGAGTCCCACTCCACCCTCAGTTTCGTCATCTGTGAAATTGAGTGAATATGCAACCCTAACTTCACAGAGTGGTAGGGAGGATCTAATGATGGGTGAGAAAATGCTTTGTAAACTATAAAGCGTAGCACCTCACTGAGCCCATAGACTTGTGTATGCAGTAGAATAGCTGTTGGCGATTATCCTCCTAGATTGGTGGGCCCTGTGTCCTGCTGAATTCCTGAGAACATGGATGGGTAAAGGCTTAGCTAGGAATCTGGGTGGCCCACATGCTCCACCTCCTACCTAAGGTCACAAGGCGTCTATGTCTAAGTGTCTTATAAGCCTGGGACTCAGGTTGCCTACAAGGGCTCGATCTGCTGGAATGTTGGTCCACTGTGCTCACCCCAGCTCCATCATCAGCCTACCTGTGGCCTTGGACTCAACTGTCCAAATCCTCACTTCTGCATTCTCTGGGACAGAGTGACTCCCTATCACCTGCAAAAGGGGCACCAGGTGTCTGAGATTCCTTCTGCTTCACATCTCCCTCCACCCAAGAATGGACAGACTGGGTCCCAAGAGACATAAAATTCACCCAGCTTGCCTACTCCTAGTCTCTGGTTATTTTGGTAGATAGAATGACATTCACCATTGACTGTTCTTGCAGTTTCACAGAAAAGTGAGCTGAGCTTGTAGAACAGGTCCAGGGCTGCCCTGAGCAGTGATAGAGCCAGGCCAGAGCCCTGGCTGGCCCCTCCCAGCCAGCAGGCCACCTCCCTTGCTTCACTGATTGTTTTGCCTCTCATTTGGAGGGTGACCCAATAACCAATTAACAGACTATTGTTCTTTCTGGCCAGGATGGGACCCTCTCCCTGGTGGAGAATTTCAGAAACCTGGGCCGTCTGTCCACCATCCCTGTCCTTCCCTCCCTTTCTGCTCTTTGGCATTTGTTTTGGTTTCCTGTAGTCTCCTAGTAAAGGTTTCTTTAGAAAAGCTTTAACCTGTTTACCCTGGGCAATGGAAAGACTATCTCCACCCACGGGTACTACAAGGATATATTCGCAGGTGTAGCCTGCCCGAAGGACTCAGCCAGCACGAGGGCAAGGAGACCTGGGGCTGCCTTCGGGGAGACTTGAGCTCTGGACCCTCAGGTCTGCCTTCCCATGGTTGCCTGCACCATCCAGGGAGATTTGCACTTGGCCTGGTGGCCTCCGGAGAAGCATGAGATAAGAGGGCAGAGTAACCTTTCTCTGTGTCCTCGTGCACGCACACAGCTTGGGGTCTTGCTTAAAGGCCAGATTCTGAATGACTGGGTATAGGGTGGTGAGTGAAGCCAAGACTTCAGTTTTAGTCTGCTCTCAGATGAGGCCCATGTTGCCCCACGTCACAGACTAGCCCCTTCACCATCTAGAGAGCAGGCCGCCAAAGTCCCCAGTTGATTCCAGAGTGAGTAATCTCCCTATCTTGACCTCCTTGCTTCTTGGGAACCTCTTCCATCACCCACATCTTCCTAGAGGAGGTATTCATTTCCTCCACAGCAATTTTAGCTCTGAGCTTCTAGAAGGCAAGGACTGATGCCAGGAAACATAAATGCATGAACAAGTAGGTGATTCTCAGAAACCCTGCCCAGATCTCCAAAATCTGGGAAGCCCAGATCCCAATCCCAGAGAGAGACTTGGGGAGACATTTGGGGCTACTCCAGGCCTCTGTGTCTGTGATTACCCAGTTTGAGCCTTACTTACTCCCCCAAAGAAAGGGTCCCAGGAGGCTGGGAAGAAGGTTGCTATGAAAATTACATCCCCAAGTGTAAGGCAGGAGAAGCACAGCAGGGCCACTGCGGGAATTGCTCAGGCCGAAGAAAGACCAACAGAAGTCATCAGGGTAGCAGGTCAACTCCGACTCTGGCATGTGTGAGGCCAGGAAGGACCCTTCTCCTTCTTTCCCTGGAGTCTTTTAGGCCTACACTTCTTAAGTCCCTCCGGGTGGTCAGTGACCATTTCCTGATGATAGCGATCTCTGCAGCGGGTATTTTCTAAGTCCCTAAAGTTCCCACAGGGGAAAGAACAGATTTTGGAGCTGAAGAGGTGACCCTAATTGTTCTTAAATACTTCAGATGGCCCTGGGCATTTGGTTTCATCTCTCTGAGCCTGTTTCCTCCTCTGTTAAATGGGAATAAATCAGTGGGGTTCCTGTAAGAGTTTAGTGAGTAACCAAAGAACACCGCTCCCCACAGATGAGAATTCATCCCTTTCCTTGATGACATCCCATGATCTAGACGTCATCCACTTTCTGCCTGGGCCAAAATCCCACTCACCCACCCGTCAGTGCCAGAACCCTTGGCCAGTGGAGGCTCCACTCTTCCCACCCTCCTGCCCTTTATCCAGCGGAGTCCCACCCAGCTGGACCACCAGGACCACGCTGGTCCCCACCCCTCCTGTCTCCCCACATCAGTACACTCCAGAGTACTTGCCAAGAGCAGATTCTTTATTAATTTCTCTTTTTCTTAAAAAAAAGTATTCCTTCAGTATAAAAAATAAATATTTTAAATATGACATTGAATAAATTAAAATAATCTGTCTTTATGAAACATTCCCACAGGGTACATTCATCAAAGAGGAATTTATCACCCAAGGCCAAGTCCTTTCCAGCGGAAAGGAAGGAGGGAAACATCTAAGGCTCCACGGTGGGCCCACTGAGCTAGCAGTGCGAATGGGAGATACAGCCCAGGTAGGGGGCTGGAGATCAATCTGACATGGGAACATCTGTACTGTCGGAAAGGCAATTGCTACCTCCATAGATTCTGAGGCTCCAACCCCATTTGCTAAGTCTGCTCTGGAGACCCAGCAAAGCAGGCTGGACCGACTTAATCAGGTTTGGGGATAAGGAGGAGGATGAGGACAGACAAGTAAACTAGCAGTGCTTTTGTGGTTTAAATTTTTAAATAATAAATAAGAGCCCCTATACTTCTTTCTGCAAAATGACTGTCTACCCCATCCTCTGCAGGAGACCCACCCCTCATTCTCTGGCCCAGGCACACGACCCATCATGCCAGGTGGGGGTCAATACCAGTAGGTGAAAACGCGGAAATGTACAGTTTACTCCCCACAAAGCTGCTCACACAAAGGCTCCATAATTCAGTGATACTGTGCAAAGTGGGCGCTGACCTGCTGAAATTAGATCTAGAAAGAACACTGAGGATTGAGTCCTTCAGGCAGAGTCCAGGCTGGGCAGAGAGTGTCAAGGAGCCAGGGATTGTGTAGGCAGGGAGGAGCAGTTCTATTGGTTCTTGAGCCCTCCAAGGCTGCCAGGTAGGTCCAGCGCAGGGAATCCATGTGCACAGGGAGCTGGGATGATGGCAAGTTGAGCTGGCCCCGGGCTACAGAATCCTCCATCCTGGCTTCCAGACAAGCTGTCTTTCTTGCTGCTCAGCTTGGAAAGTGCAGCCATTCCCAAGCCACGCCCAAAGGAACAGAGAAATAAGAGGGTGGCAGGCTGTGATCCTGGACAAGGACGTGACCCAAATTGAAAATGCATTGGAAAAGACACAGCAGCTGTGGCCCCCTCTACCACACACACCACAGCTTAGCCACCCCACTGGGACGCGCAGCTCCTAACCTTCCCCACCCCAGACCTCGGGGCAGCCCACTGGCTGCCCGCCCCCATCCAGGTAAAGTGCTTAGAGAATAAGAGAGAAGGTGCAAAGTGAGTGTTAAGGACCGTCATCAGGACCATAACCCTGGGGCTGGACTGCTAGGACTGCCGCCTGCTCAGGGCTTGAGAAGCAGCCAGAATGCTGCTCTCAGCAGCTGCCCCAGCTGGGCCGCCTCCCTCCCTCTCTTGCTCCCAGACCTGAGGGTGTTTCTCTGCTCACCAGGCCCCAACATATAGGAAGAGAGCAGATCGGGTTCCATTCCTGGGAACCCAGACATGAGTGGGAGTGGGAAGGAGGCGGGGGAGCAGGAACCACAGCTTCCTGGTCTGCGTCCCAAACATCTCAGGTCTCACTTTCCCTGCTCCAGAGCACAGGGGCAGCTGCTCAGGCCACGTACTGCCCCAACACCCCACGCACTCGCTTGATGGGTGTTCAAGCCACCCAAGGAGCTTGCCCACCACGCAGGAGTGTGCTGGGTGTTGGGTCAGGCTCCCTCTATGTGTGACAAAGACCCTTCACTGAGGAAGATAAGGGAGCAGCCTTGCCCCCTGCCCCAGGGCCACTCATTTCCATGGTGAATGGTGCCATCAGAGCACAATTCCAGGGGGTGCTAGAGAGCACGGTGGGAAAAAGCGTCCTGGAGCCAAGAAGAAAACAAAGCCCCCACACACAAACTGGTCTAGCCCCGGCTGCCTGTCCCTGACACCTCCAAAGCAAGTCCAGAAGGAGGGGAACAGGGATGCCAGCCAGATCTCTCAGACCCTGACCTTTCTCTGAGCTTCACCCGTAAGGCTAATTCCACTTGTAACATGTCAGCTTCCACACCAGGCCCCGCCAAGAGGCTCAGCTCTGGTTCCCTGCTGGGTAGAGAGCAGGGAAGGGATTAACTTCACCATTTAAAGCACCAATAAGTTAACATAAATAGGACATCATAATAAATAGATAATCGTGCTGGGCCAGACACACAGCACTCTTGGGTCTCAGGCTTCTCTGAGACCCTGACCTCAAGTTCTGTGACCCCTTGCTCTAGGGACCCAAGACGAGCTCTAGTCCCCCTCAAGTACCTTTGTGTGACTTCACCGGGCCTCTACAGGCCTCCAATGTGAGCTGCTCTCTGAACTACCTGTGCCCTTCCTGTCCCCAAGAGGAAGATTTTGGGTCCCCACTGAAGCTCCTCACCTGTCTCTGCAACCTGCCCCTACCCACCTCCATGTACCCTGCTCTAGATCCGGCCACCAGATCCTGGCCATGCCAGGCTGTAGAAAGAGAGTGCAGAGAAAAGGAAGAAGAACAAAGGCTTTGGGGGCCTCTCTTCCTTTCAGCATCTTCCTTCCCAGGCTTGAAGGTGGCCTCTCTGCCTCCCCAAGAGCCTAAACACCAATGACCTTCTGGAACCATCTACCCAACAATACCTGGGCCTAAGCTTTCTGATCATGTTTGAAAGAAGACAGTGTCCCACCCCTTCTCTATCTTCTACCCACTAAATTTTTTAAGGGACAAGGAGTTCTGGACTCCAGACCCTCTGGCCTGCCCATGTCCCAACTAAACCTTCCAAAGTCTAGAGAAAACAAAGGCACAAATGGCAGTCACTCCACTGGGGGCCAGTGACCCCCTGGCCCTCACTGTCTTGCCCTTTGTCAGGGCTGCTATAGACAACTTGTGCGGTTTGAGCAAGGACTGAGGGGACAAGTGGGAGCAGAAACGCTGCCTACACTTCCCTCCCCAGTGTGACACCCTGGTTACCGGAAGGGCACCTCTTCTGGTCAGTGCTGTAAAGAGGCCCTGACATGCTGGGAACCCTCTGGGGCCTGCCAGCAGCCCCCACTTGGGATAAATGACGCCCTGGGCCCCAGCCATTCTTTTGGATCCTGCTTCCCATCCCCACATTTGGATCCTGCTTCTGAGACCCCTCAGTCCGCGACACTCTTCAAGGCCTCCTGTCTAGAAGGCCTGAGTCACTACGCCAATGACCTGCTTGTACTTCCCCAGGAGCTGACACCCCAGCTTCTTCTTCTGGAAGACATCCTTATCTGAGGTGTCGGGGCCATAGGCCACGTCCACATGTGCCACGTGGTACTTGTTGCACAGACGGCACTGTATGTTGCTGAGCAGCCCCCGCATAACATCTGCGGTGACACTGAGCTTGCTGTGAAGGCTGAGCGCGTTGGGGTTCAGGAGCTTCTGGTCCTGAGTGATGTTGCCCAAGGCAGCACCAAGGTAGGCAATGATGCGATACAGCTCCACCAGCTTGGCCTTCTCTGTGCCATTGGCGTGGAAGGGCGGGAAGTCCGTCACGTTGGGAGCGCACAACTTGTCCAGGTTGTTGGGGAACGGTTCCCCCTGGGCTGTGTACTGAGGGACAAAAAAGGCAGGGGGAGGTGACAAGGGAGTCAAGGGTTGACATTCCAGCCCTGCTGCCAGCCTCAGGGCAAGCTCTCAAGTTTCTGTTTCCCCACCTAAAGCAGGAGGACCCAACTCCCTGCCCTGCAGGCATTCAGAATTGTCCTGAGAGCTGGAAGTAATCACAAGTGTGACCAAACTTGCTAATGATCAAGGCCTAGACTAGCCAGGGCCAAACCTTCTCAAGATTTCCAGGATAACAAACAGCCCACTGCGCACGTGTGCCGTAGGTTCGCCACCACCTGCCTAGACCGTGTAAGCGGTTGTCACCATCATCACCATGACCACATAGAGAAGGAAAGGAAAATGTGGCATCTCACTGGTGACACCTCAGCGGGTACACCACACGCACTTGCACTTTCACTCACCACACTCTGCCTCTTCCTGTGCATCCCTGCAGACACCCATGGCCCCTCTTCTCCTGGTCCACTCACTGCCTTAATCCCCTCGATCTTTCACAAGACTGGAAGCGTCAGGCCCCCTCCTCATCCCAGCTCTGCCCCTCACTGGCCTTGAGACCTTAAGAAAGTGGTTTCTGGCCCTGCAGCCTGGGGCGTGGGGAGGCAGGGGTGGGAACGTGGGTGTGGGTCAACCAAACTTATTCTTACAGCCTCCTTCTAGCTCCAAAGGGGTCCCTTCCAGCCAAGGTCAGCTACTCCTTTGCAAGCCCCTCCTTCCTAGATATCCTGCAGGAGAACTTACATAGAGAATGAAGAGGGCATTGGCGCTGCCATTGAGCTGTGCCAGTTGGTTCCTGATCTGGCTCATGACGTTGCTGTGACATGGGTGGCGTGTGGCACAGGTGGCATTGACAGGGGTGATGGGAAGAGGGCTTCCTGCCCCATGTTTCCAGTGCAGAACCAGCAGCAGGGGCATGACTCCTGGGAACAGGAAAGGAGAGATGAGCGGGGCAGGGTGGCTTGGGGTGGACGGCACGCTGGGTGGGGGTCGGCAAGGGGCTCACGGGAGAGGATTCGCATTGTGCCCTCCACCTCCCGCTCTGGCTCCTCTGGCCATTTCTAGTTTTCCTTCGTCCCCCTGTCTCCACATCTCTAGCTCTGCTTCTCTCGGCCTTCTTATCTGTCCCTCCCCTCTCCTGGGCTGAGGGAGTGGGCAAGGATGCAGGAAGAAGGCATTCCACCAGCTGGAAGCCGGGCCCAGAACAGATGTCCGGCCCCTTCCTTCAGGAAGGTGAGACCTCCAAGCTTCCTGCCCTCCGGCCGGGAGGCATCACTTCCCTGGAGAAAGGAGATCCCTATCTTCCCATCTCCCGGGATGGTCCAGATGCCTAAGCCTTGCCTCATACTCACTGTCCCATTTCAGCCCAGACTCCCAAATAACCCCCTGGGGACAGGCTCGGGAGCTTCTGGTGACACTTTCCTCTAACCTGCCACTTAATTCTGGTTTCATGAGCCAATTGCCCCTAATTCTGCCGTCCTCGTCCCATCTCTTCTCTGTCTTCCCAGGCCTGGCCGCTTCCCTGTCCAGGACCCTCAGCTCCACCCCAATTCTGCAAGTCCCGCTTTGCAGCCCCAAATCGTCATTCACTCCCAATGCCCCACCTCCCTCTCCGGAATCCATTCACTTTCCCTTCTTGTCTACTGTCCCTTATCGCAGACCGTGGGTTAGGGCAAGGACCACCTGGCTTTGGGAACGGAGAGGAAATGGTGCAACGAGGAAAGAGAAAAGGAAAAAGGTCGCAGGCAGCCGTGCCGGGAGGGAGGAAAGTGAAAGGTGCCAGGAGAGCGGGGCGCTGTCCGGGCCTGTCCCGGTCACCCCTCCCCCCAGGCGCCTGAACCCCCTTCACCACCAAGCACCCCAGACGGGCCTCTTCAGGCCCCAGCGGAAGGCACCCGAGGGTCCTAGGGACTGCGATCAGCCGACCAGGGAAGCTGGAGGCCTCCGGCAAAACCCCCCTGCGGAGACAGGAGCCTCAAGTTCACTTCTCCTGGGTCCCCTTTTCCACCCAGCATCCCCAGGCCATGCGGAGGTGCCAGGACGGCTCGGGGGACAGGGCCCACACCCCCATCTCACCTAGCGCAGACCTCACGCTTTCCAGGCACTAGCAGCTGGAGGCAGCACCTGCTCCCGTCCCGAGCCGGAGTTTGCAAGCTGCTCGGCCGCCCGCGCCCCTCCCCGGGAGCAGCCCGGGACGCAGTCGGAAAAGAGAAAGCGAAAAGAAAGAAAGAAAAGAAAAGAGGGAGAGTGAATCCTGGAGAAGGCAGAGAGGCAAGAGCAGCGCGGGAGAGTGGTGCAGCGAGGGGAGGAAGAATGTTCGGCCCCCTCCCTCGCCGCCAACCTGCCGCCCGGCGGGCTGGGCGCGCGGAGCCGGGACCATGTGTCGCCTCCCAGCGCCTCCGGCGGGCCGGGCG